AATGTATCTTTAATGTTCGGTGTCTTGTCTCTTTGTAATGAATTGTTAAAATTATCATGCATTTGTAATGTTCCTTTGTAATGAATTGTTAAAATTATCATGCATTTGTATGACTCTTAAACATACACATGTACCAGATAAAGTAGGCTTTTGATTATGCCAGTTTGATAATACCTACCTTTAAATCATTTTGAATTTATGCCATGTTTCTTTGCCTGGCAACCGACCTTATAGAGTGGATTTAACATGCAATATGTGTAGTGAGCTGGATCGCCATATCCTTTCTATGTATTTCCGCAAACTTGGACATTGACCTCACTTGGAGGATCCTTCATAGAACATATATTTCCAGACAATCCCTACCAAAAGGGTGTTTAGTGTTATGGTACCCCTGCAGGTTGTGCAATAGTGGAACCAAGTCCCAGGGTTATGGTACTACTCCCAGATGAAACAAGTACGTATGCGAAGTTGCTACTTTGCATTTGTGAACATGTGACTTTTTCTAATGTAAGACTTTATCACCAGCATATCTTGGCTGTCAATAGCATATGTTCATAAAGCCTTGTACACACGGACGATTGTTTGCTTGTTGAAGCAGAGAGCGATTGAAGGCAACCGACTACCGAGAGCACAACCGTATTTCTGGCCATGCAAGCAATTTGCAAACGATGCTTAATGTATTGGCACCGCTACCCTTTCACTATATAGTTAAGGTGGGTCGCTATTTTGTAATATCACGTGCTATTTTCCCTTGCATTCATTGCCCGAAGATGGTCACGGTGGCTAAGTGGGTAAGACGCTGGCTCGCTAGTCTGGATGTCGGGCGTTCGATCCCTGCTTTAGCCGAGAAAGTTCATCCAGCTTGTCATCATTGTCAGTGATGCAGGACGGAGAGCCTGACAAAGACAGCTGTTTAGTCGTTCGGATGGGACGAAAAACCAAGGTCCCGTGTACACATTGGCGTGCACGTAAATTCGATATAAGAGTAGGCCGTAGTGCACACTGTATGGGGTATGCCCGTCTTCGTTAGCCCAGTTAGAAACAGAAGAGTAGGACGTCAAACCATTTCATTTCATTTCCTTTTCATTGCCCGAACAAAGCCAATTGCTTATCGATAAATAGATTGCTGTCGCATACACAGGGATTGTTGAATGATTGCAAAGCGATGATCAATTCTTTGATATCGCCCAGAACACCTGTAATTCCGGGTGTCTTTGATTCTCAAAAATGGAATAATGTGACTTGATGATCGGGATTCGTTTATTTTGGAAAAAGTGTAACTCTACGGTACGACTCTTCAGTTGTATCTTAAAACTCTTTTAAATTAAAGGAGCTAAATCGATAATATTTGGGACCTACAAATTGACACAAATGGGTCGCAAAGTATATAATAATGTAATATGAATGTAAATAAACTGATTTACATTCAATCGTTTCCGTTTTTACTCTAATTTCAAAGCAGTTATGTTCGGCGAAATACGCCAGAAGTCTCAATCCAATTGCAATCTCTAGTGTCTGGTTATTCTAGTCTACACCGATAGTAGTTATTGCGCACGTTCTCCAGATAAGAATATGGGGTCACTGTTTGCCGTGACTTGTGGAACATGTTTAACCTCGTTCTTCGAGTCGCTTGCTACAAATTGCGCTGAAACGCATTATGGTACACGATTCGTGTACCAATCGTAAAATGTTTATTTTGTCTTAAATATTAGATATCAGAAGCCCATCTTTTTCCGGTAAGATCACAACACCAATGTTGATTAAAATTGACAAATAATTCGTGTTTTCATTGTCGAAGGTTTTGGATGATATTGAGTTAGAGACTTAGCTACTTTAATACTGAATGGACATAGTTTGTCTGAATTTTTGAAATCTAGACGTGTCTGACTAAATTGTGTAGTCAAATGAAAAAAGGCGAAGATATTGATATCCGATCTGAGGCGCTAGCCAAAGTGAGTTTTTCAATAGACACCTTCTCATATTATAGCACATTTCATTTCTGCAGCTGAATAAAAAAAACTACCCGAATCGCATTATCCCTATTTGTCGGCGTTCGTACTTTTTAGAGATCAAAGACACTGATAATTCCCCTCGTGTACGTTCTTATAGTAATAGTCTTTTTTTTCTCACTTTCTAATTTTCGACCGAAATATTTGAATTTTTTGTATAGAATCAAAGAAAGGGTTGTGAATTTACATTTTTGTCAGGTTTTAGAGAATATTGATAATCTTTAGGAGAAAGATTAACAGATTTAAGATGTTGATTACGTTTACTATGGATTTGGCGATTTTTTATTTTTCTGAGAATAATATCACTTTAGGCAAACAGGTAGAGCATTTGAATTGTAGAATACATCTTAATTTCTTTTATCTGTTAACAATATTTTATTTTCAAATTTCAGATAGTCCCGGATATCTAGGAACACAACCATCATGTAAACCATAATAGAGAAAGGGCAATAGCCGAATAATTCAGACCATCGTTTCTATTTCGTTTCGTTTTTATCAGCCCACATCGTCGTCATATCTGTATGTCCATCCGTCATCCATTCGTCCAAAATTCTTGTGAACGCTTTAAAGTTCGGGATTTTTTTTTGAGAATTGCCTCAGCCACCGAGAAAATGTATAAATGTCTCACATGTCATACTATCAAAGGTTGCGATAGAAATACTGGACAACATTTTTCAAGGAATTGTTTTAAATCTCAGTTCAAGACAGAGCCCAGGCCATTTCGAAAATTTCCAGATAGTAAATTTTGAAATTTCGAAAAGGGTTCGCAGAGTTGTCTTTCCAAGCATATTTCAACATTAAAATTTGTGAAGCGATATTGGACACAGTTTTCATTATGATGTCGTTTAGTTCCGACTGAAGAGGTACACCGGCGAGTCATTGGGGCATAAGGAACACACATATTTGGATCTTAAATTTCTTCCACTCAAAAATTCATAATTAGAACTTGATCTTTAGGATTTGTTGGTAGGGCTTTTAGAGGTAACACGTGCGTCTTGGGTGGCTTGGTAAGCCCTTTCTACGTTTATAGTAACATAATCCTGTTTTATGACCATGAATTGCTTATTAACATCGAATAGCGCCATGTTATAAGTAATTCGTTTAACCTTTTTTGTATATTTATGCTCTAATTCTTTTAACCATTTTTGTATATTTATGGTCTAATTTGTTTAACCAGTTTTTGTATATTTATGCTCTAATTCGTTTAACCATTTTTGTATAATTATGCTCTAATTCGTTTTACCATTTTTGCATAATTATGCTCTAATTCGTTTAACCATTTTTTGTATATTCAGTCTCGAATTCGTTTAACCATTTTTGTATATCTTCATTAAAAGACCACGCTATGATAACTAATCATTGATATGCATTTACCAACTGTTTTATAAATTATGTTTACCGCTATGGTTTAACATAATTTCGTCTTTTTTAGCAATACAGATTTGCCATGCTAGCTTTTTTAGTTAAAATAATAGATAAAACGAGAGCATCGCTACCGCTGCAATATACGTCCACATTCATACTTTGATAAATATGAAGAGAATGAAGTATGAAATGGCTGCAACGACTGTAATATGACAAGAGGCAAAGAAGGCTAGGCGTTGGGTATGTTTTGCCAAATTTACAGACTAAATATAAACAAAAAATAGGTGCCACATCACCCCTGGGGTTTGGGCACCACATCGCCCCTGGGGTTTGGGCATGCACGAAAATGAATAGTTGCTATCCATACAGTAAAATGAATAAATATGCTAAGTTTCAAAATGATCCATTCAGAATTCCCGCCTGTAGACAACAAACACAAAAATTGGCCGTGGTTCTGCCCCTGGCTGTTTGACATGGATCAATATGAATAGGTACAACCCTATGATGGATCATGCCGAATTGGATCAAAGTCTGTTAATATATTGCAACCTTTAGAGTATTTACAGACAAAATATTAACAAAAACTGCCAAAGATGGTCGGATCATGCACCAAAATCAATAGTTGCCGTCCATAGGCTATAAGGAATACGTATGCCAAATTCCAAGATAACATACCTATAAGTTCAAGGGATATTCCTGATTTGACAATGAACCTCCCAAATTTGATTACTGCCATAGAAATATTGTTTTATTTGGATTTTAGAACACATAGTAGGTTATGACTTCAGGTCTATCGAAAGTTTTACGAAATATATGAACTAAAATTTACAAATTAATGATTTTATTTGATCAGAAATATTAAACTAAATTAAACTACTGACACCCGATAATAGATTAGAATATTAGTAAAATATAATACTATACTGGATAAATGATACACAGTGGTAGAAATGATAAGGGTTTAATGTTGTTCTTCTGTTCAGCACCCACTGATATGAAGGAAATTTTGGCCACACAACGGCCTACTCTTATTTCAAATTTAAACTGTCTAGGGTTCTTTTACATGCACGCAAATGACTGTGTACACTGGACCTTGGGTTTTCGTCTCATCTGAACGACGAGGCACTGTACTTGTCAGCAGGGGCGCCGGAACCCGGGTACCAGGGTATACAAATGGTACCCTGCCCTTTTCTGGGGTATACATGTATACCCATGCTCTAATGATGAAAGTTTTCACATTTTTGCTCATGATACGAAAATTGTGAATAATCATGTTTTTGTCTCTTTCATTATCGTGTATTTCAAAGGGTTTTATGTAGGAATTTGGAATGCTAGAGGGGCTCTAAACAGCGTTCTCGGAATTGACAAATTTCAAAATTTTCTAGAGGCCGGGGGGGGGGGAAGAATCCCCCCGCCCCCTTACTCTTTTGGTACACTGGCCCTCGCGCCGTTCCAGCGCCCCTGCTTGTGAGGACTTCCACCATTGACAAGTGGGAACCACGCGGAATAATACCGAGGAACTTTCTCGGGCAACACAGGAAGCCTAGCATAGAACTCCTAGTTAGCGAGCCAGTGTCTTACTCACTGGGTCACTGCGGCTCCCAGAGAGATAGATGATACACAGAGGCAGGTGATATTTAATTTTATTGTGTATGTTATAAAGTATAGAATATATGCTGATGCCCTCATCACTGATTTAAATTGTTTTGTTTTTAAATAAGAAGATTATTGGACAATTACACATATAGCTGGATTACGAATGTAAATATTTGCTACTAATTGAGATGTGTCGTATCCGTATAAGAGTTCGAATTAAGAAAACACAGGATTAACTGTTCCTCCATCAACCGAAATTATCTCCCCTGTTATGTATGAAGATTCGTCTGAGAGAAGAAATTTGACCAGTTTTGCAACATCTTTTGTTTCGCCTAATCTTCTCAGCGGAGTGGTTGTTAGGATCCCAGCTCCCATCTGCAGAGAAATATGTATATTATTTAGTTGCCGAGTAGATTTACTGAACGTAAAATAAAACGGAATTCTGTATAAACATTAACTTGGCCAACAGAAGAAAGAAACAAATATTCTTGTACCTAGAATCCAGTTGAGAAATGAAACGGAATCAGGTTTAATTTATAATTTGGCTACCATAAGAAAGTAAATGTGGTTGTTAGTACAACGTTCGGTGAACGAGAATGTATTTTAAACAGCAACTTATATCTACCTCCGCTATTTTCTCTTCTGAAAATCCATTTTTTTTTAAGATTAGTGTTGAAATGTAACCAGGACTGGAAATATAAAGAGGGGAAACGTATTATAATATGATATCTGCTTAAATATTTTACAGTTTTCTTTTTGTCGACATGACAGTCAGGCAGGTCCTAGTTGGCACGAAAATCATACCAGCCCTAGTTGGCAGGACATATCGTCTCGAAAATATTCACTCACTTTGAGTCACTTACTCCGTCCGTTTGACACTTTCCTGTCTGGTCGGATAAACTAGTGATTTGGCGACAGGCAGTATCTGGTAAGCTCTATTTATCTCGACGATGCCTGAAATACTGCCAGAATGCATTTCGGGCAGTCTACTTTTCAAATTTTCGGGCGCGTCGTTGAGGTTCGCAAGTCCGTTCATTTGACACTTTCCTCTCTGGGGTCGAATAGTGATCAGGCGACAGACGGCGTCTGACCAGTTCTATTTATCTCTACAATCGGTGCCTGAATACTGTCAGACAGCATTTCCGACAGTCTATTTATCTCTACAACCGGTGCCTGAATACTGTCAGACAGCATTTCCGACAGTCTATTTTTCAAAAATTTCTTGGGGAGGTCCCCAATACCCTCACAAGGATTCGCTACTTTGACGCTCACAAGGCGACTTCCACACTGATCAGCAGTGAATTTTCGCTAGGCCGCTACAATCACTGATAAGGATGACATCGATGCGACTTAATAAGCCAGAAATATTAACTTTTTTCCTGCGACAAATTAAATTCTAAAAAAAAAAATTTATGTATTGGAAAAATAAATAAAGGCGTTTGACGTATTTGTAGGTAAAAATTATTTCCTATTAAGTGTTAATGGGTATTAAAATGACTAAAAGGCAGCATTCTCTCCGAAGCAGTAACGTCTTATGTAAACAATGCACGCGCAATTCAGCCAATGATTGACGCCGCGTGCTGTGGCGGCACATGTTAAGGCACAATCTGTTTCACAGAGAATTTCGAGTCTCGTATAAAATCTCTGTCATAGATGACTGCCTTAACACGTGCTGTCACAGCACGCGGTGTGAATCATTGGCTGAATGGCGCGTGCATTGTTTACATAAGACATAACTGCTTCGGAGAGAATGCTGCATTTTAGTCATTTTAATACCCATTTACACTAAATCGGAAATACTTTTTAACTACAAATACGTCAAACGCCTTTATTTATTCTTCCAATATATACAAAAAATGTTTTAGAATTTAATTTGTCGCAGGAAAAAAGTTAATATTTCTAGTTCATTAAGCCGCATCAATGTCATCCTTATCAGTGCTTGTCGCGGCCAAGCAAATATTCACTGCGGATCAGTGTGGTTAAGGCAGTCATCTTTGACAGAGATATTACTAGATTCGTAATTCTCTGTGACACAGACGGCCGGTATCTTGTCAGGTCTATTTATCTCAACGATCGGTGCCTAGATGAATACTGTCAGACAGCATTTCCGGCGGCAGTCCATTTTTCAAAATTGGGCTTTGTTAGTTTTACCTCAACAATCAGTGTCTGAAATATTTCCAGGCTGCATTTCCGTTTTTCAAAACTTTCTGGAGGAGCCCCCCCCCACTACCCCTAGTTGAAGCTCGTCCCTTTGCCCCAGCTTTGTACCTCCAACCACCGACGGCTGGCGCCGCCATTTTACACGGGTATCCCCATCTTCAATAGAAGGTTTGATCTGGCTTTAACAACGTACATCTTATCAGGGCCTTCACGTAATACCCTGCATAGATAACGCAGCTATAAGTTCGGGAATTGTGAAGTAATCTAGCAACGTCAAGATGTTGTAAAACTCGCAGTCGTTGCTTCAGGAACATGGGATATCCCAGAAGAAACATCGAGACTGGTTGGTTAATCAAATGTCTGCCGTCATTGGTAAAATAAAAACGCGAATACCACTACAACCGGTTTTATCTTCATGTAGTGGAGGCCATTGACAGTATAGAAAAGCGAAACGAAATACAGATCTGTAGTTTAATAAGATTGATGACCGTTTGAAATCTACAAAACCTGTAAGGTTTAAATATAATTATAAGTAAATAATACGAACTTGACACTGTTTACTCTAACTCCAGATGGTCCAATTTCTGTTTTAAAAGAAAAATTTACAATGAATTAGATGATATATTACCTGGTCATATTTCAAAATGTTGAGAAGTTATTGATTATAAATTAATTATATATATCATAATGAGAAGATCAAGAAGGTCATATTTCAAAATGTTGAGAAGTTATAAATCATAAATTAATTATATATATCATGATGAGAAGATCAAAAATATGTCAGGATAGGCTTAAGTGGCAGGGTAGGAACTTATAGTAGGTTCGGAAATGTAAATGTTGACACTATTATAAGTTACTGAGCAAAAGGCTTCTTGAATAATTTAACAATGAATCATTTTAACATATATTTATCAGCTTTTACCTGCTGCTAGCAGATGTGTAAAGTGGTCCAGGGCTGCTTTACTTAGACAATACGATGCAAATTCAGTAGACTAAAAGTACAGAAAACGATCAGTTATGTAATATTAGCAACTGTGGATTATTATATGAAACCAACAGGTGGATTGAAGCGCTACAATGTAAAAACCATACTTTTGACGTGATTACACAGTTCAGAGAAAAGGTTCTCAAAAAATAAGAGTTCAGATATTTACCATAAACGTTGGGTGGAGGTCCTATTTCTCTGGTCTCCAGGATAATAGGACAAACGAAAAGGGCCATATTCCTGAAGCAATGGCCCGAGAAGTCGCTCTCTGGCCATTGCTGGATTAGCTTCTGATACTTGCGCTTTTGAGGGAGTGTGACTATTCTTCCCGTTCAATCAAATCTATCCCCAGGCACAGCAACATGACAGCCCTTCTTTTAATAAGGGCCTTCCCTAAAACTTTGGACAGTGATTTAAGGTATTAAAAACGGTGAAAGTGTTGTTCGTCTCAAAACAATATTGTTTACATTGTATTCGTGTTGACAGTTGATAGCCTTGTTTGTCACACAATTAGTTTTTCTGCAATACTCTGCTATGCACTGGTTAATTGGGCATAATAATAATAAAAGCGTGAGTCATGACGTAACGTTATGTAAACATATATATTTGGTCCAATTTGGAGCTCTGTTTGGTATTGTTACGCAGTTAGTTATTGGTTGTTAATCGGACTATTGACCAGTCATAATTTAGAACAAGAATTTGCTTTCTTTACAGCAGTGAGTAGTGGGATTATCTCTAATCAAACGAAACACTGCAAGGAGTATGCAAAAAGGCTAACTTACCCCTTTCTTTGAAGATATACTGGAAATGTTGACCACACAACCTTTAAATATAATAATATCGAATATCGACATTTATAAAGCGCGTTAATACTGAATAATGTTTTCGAAAGCGCTGTTGGATGTTATATTTACTGATTATTTATAGATCAGGGTTTTGAAACAAGAATGATTTGAGTTGAGATTTAACCTTTGTCAGTTCACATGGGGTCTCTGTGGACCCCATGCACATGTTTTATGGTGTTCTGTAACAACTACTGGGTACAACTTTCTGAAATTTAGTGACTTTGTCTCCAATACATTTTAACACGTAGCAAAGAGATCGGTATTCATATGCTTCCCACATGCAGAGTTATGTCACATGCAAATCAGGCCAGACGCTTGAAGGGAACAAGGGGTCCAACCGGACCCCTAACTTATAACTCACAGTAGTGATTTTGCTAATGTGTTTGCTGCCTGAAACCATATTGCGCATGCCAGAGTATTCCCTAATTTAGCATCTGCATGTTACAAATACCAAAAATTAAATTATGAATTCCAAATATTGAATGGTTTTTGTATCAAGCGTGAATTGCCATTTAACCCCTTTATCACATAGTACACAAAGTAGCAATTTGGTGAGAATTATTAAATCTTTTCCATATGCCACTAACATGTTTTGGGCAATAATTTAGTTGTTTTTCAGTTGTCAAATATGAATGCAAATAAAAACCAAACCGCTGCCTTTTAATTCAAATATATCTGTACGTAAAAACTTGAATTATAATTGGGGTCCATATGGACCCCATGATACCTGCTATGTGATTCTCACAATGTGAACCCACAAGGGTTAAGATGTCCCACTGACGTTAATTGCCTCATTTGTTTAAACGAAATAACTAATTCGTTTAAACGAAATAACTAATGCGTTTAAATGAAATAAATAATTCGTTTGAACGAAATAAATAATTCGTTTGAACGAAATAAATAATTCGTTTAAACGAAATAAATAATTCGTTTAAACGAAATAAATAATTCGTTTAAACGAAATAAATAATTCGTTTAAACGATATAACTAATTAGTTCAAACGAAATAACTAGCCATATGCTAGTTTCGGCAATCTACTAACCTTTAGATTTTTTTAGATGTGGTAGACAAAGTTTGGACAAATAAAATGGAGCTCTGAGATTGACTCTCATAATTCCATCATAATCTTTCATGTCTGTCTCTTCAATATTTGCTTTTGTAACATATCCAGCATTATTAACCTGCAAAGATTAATGTAACAGAATCGGTGAATGTTCACCTCTCAAGCGAGCATTCAAGGGCGAATGCAGAATCTAAATCATACCAGCGTTAGCAAGATAATCAGTTTGAATACAGATCTAAATAATTAATAATTCCAGACACTAACACAGATCATTTACAGATGTGAGAACTTATCATATGTCTACCTTTAGATCTATGTGTTCACCATATGTCCACCTGTAGATGTGAGAGTTTACCTCATGTCTACCCGTAGATGTGAGGGTTTGTAAGTAAGTCTACCCCCAAATGTGAGACATTATCATATGTCTACCAGTAGGCACAGATGTGAGAGTTTACCATATGTCTACCCGTAGATGTTTGGGTTTATCATATGTCTACCCGTAGACGTGGGATTTTATCATATGTCTATTCGTAGATGTGCGACTTTATCATATGTCTACCCGTAGATGTGAGAGTTTACCATACGTCTACCCGTAGATGTGAGAGTTTACCATACGTCTACCCGTAGATGTGAGAGTTTACCACATGTCTACCCGTAGTTTGTGTCTATTCGTAGTTGTGAGAGTTTACCACGTGTCGATCGTTAGATGTGAGAGTTTACAACATGTCTACCTTTAGATATGAGCGCTTACCATTTCGTCTACCGACCCGTAGATGTGAGAGTTTACCATATGTTTAACTGTAGAATATTACATACGTGATTGTTTACTATATGTCCAGCTGTAGATGTGACAGTTTGCCATATGTCTACCCGTAGATATGAAAGAGGACAATACTTCTACCCGTAGATATTAAAGGGTCAGCATTGCCTTCTTTAATGCTTTGTCTACAACACATGCAAACCCATATTGCACCCATTCTAGCGAAAGATATTGATAGTGTGTCCTAATTTTATGTTTCAATAAGTAACACAAAGGTAGTCCCGTTTATGGCCGAATCACGGTTTACTAAAACGCGGACAAATGTTCAATAATATTATAAATTATGATACTTTTGAACATTTATAATATTTGCCTTTCCTGTCAATTGCGTGAAATATCAGTAGACCTACTAAATTGAACAAGATTGTACTCTCTGACATAAACACAGAGTCCACCCAGATTAATGTATCTGATGTCATATTACGTATGTTCTATTTAAATTTACTTTCATTTCAATTTGTCAGCCATTTTGGAACTAGTCCGGCCGTTGACTATTATAAACATCAATCTAAGTGAACGTCTCCCAGCCCAAATTAGACAAGACTGATTGTCTTCTCTTAACATTTTACAATGTCAATTTCAACAAATATCAACATGCAGCTTCACATAGAATTGTGGAGGACGAACTTAACCCAGAATATTAAAATGAGAATAAACTGTGCTCACCAATCCATAAATAGAATCAAATGATTTTATTGTTGTATCAACTAAATCCTGTAGATTATCATCTTTACTTACATCACATTGTACTGTCAGAATCTAAAACATGTAAATTGTTCTGATAAAATCTATTAAAATAAACATTGTACTGTTAGAACATAGCATCATAAACATTGTACTATTAGCATCTAGAGAAATAAACATTGTACTGTTAGAATCTAGTAGCATAACATTGTACAGTTAGAGTCTAGTAACATAAACATTGTACAGTTAGAATCTAATATCATAAAATTGTACAGTTAGAATCTAGTAACAAACATTATACTGTTAGAATCTAGTAGCATAACATTGTACAGTTAGAATCCAGTAACATAAACATTGTACTGTCGGAATCTAGTGACATAAACATTGTAAGAAATAAACATTGTACAGTTGGAATCTATTGAAATAAACATTGTACAGTTATAGAATCCAGTAGACGTGGTACAAGGGTTAATCAGCGAACTGGATGTATGAGATGTGTTGTTGACGTTTGGGAAAGTAGGACGAGGGGAAATGTGTAGGGAGTGAAGTGCTGTAAAGGGATAGTTAGATGTATTATGAATGGTTAGAGTGGCTGTGGTGTTACGGTGAAATACTATGCCGCCACCGTAACACCACAGTTTTATGATTTGTTAGACAGGAGTGATGTAATGGGTGTCAACAACTGGGTATGCTGGTACCGTCGCAACGTAGCCGTGAAATATATATTGTGGGGGGGGGGAGGGCGGAAACGGAAAAATATACAATTTTGACAGTATGTGCCAGGCATGAGGCTGCGCAGACCGAGCGGCAGCTCGATAGGGAGTGTGTGGGAGGGTCACCCTCATAAAAAAATTTTTTTTTAAATTTCAGTTTTCTGTAAGCAGTGAAAACACTATTTTGGCATTGTTTGCGGGGTTTAACCTAAAAATCACATTAATACACCTATTGCACGATATTGTGAAACTAGCTGACGAAGACAGCTCGGGCGGCGATTGTTCGACTCGGGGCTGCTCTGTCAGTATCTAACAAACGCATTTAGTTCGCGTACAACTTTTAAAAACCGAATGTCAGTATGGTATTTCTCACATAATTGGTTATCGCAAAAACAGAGTAAACTGAAAGCGAGTAATCTCGACTCAAACCTATAGTCTATAGCCTACACTCGTCACTAGGCTTCCTATATTATTGTTTGTGGACGGTTTACTACTCAGTGATAAGCCTGCGCCGCAAAAAGAGGTCTCGCCTTTTATTATTAGTATAATGACTTCCTCATGTGCGGCAGGTTAGTTTGCTTCTAAAAACACTGTTTTCCGTTCCAAAAAATACAAAAGTAATTTTCTACCAGATGACCATGGTTCTTTTCACCGAGACTAGATAATTTCTCTCGGTGTAAGGATATAGCTATGGATAAGTTCATACAAGGTCAATAAATCCGCGGTCACTTCGGGTCACACTGTTGAGAAAATAAACCGATGGGTTTGTTTAGTAGCAAATCGAGCGTGAATCAACTGAGTTTGTACTGACAAATTTTTGAGTGATATGTATGAACTGTCTTCACACATTCGGTTTATAATTAGCGATACACAGGTAGAGTGACAAGTGTTGTACTTCACAGACTGTTTACCTCCGAACTACCTCCGCACGAAATCCCCGATTTGGGTACTTGTTAAAAGAAAAAGAAATAGTACCTGTGCGCGTGCCAGTAAAAAAAAAACTAAGAGTTCGCGCATAAAAATGCCCGAACGTACCAGGCGCCAGGTCATCTAGTGAAATAAACATTGTACTATTAGAATGTAGAGAAATAAACATTGAACTAAAAGAATGTAGAAAAATAAACATTGAACTACTAGAATCTAGTAAAATAAACATTGTACTTTTAGGACTTAGTAACATTGTACTTTTATAATCTAGTTTAATTAATATTGTACTGTTAGAATCTAGTAACATAAACACAGAATACAGTTATATAGAAATAACAATAAACTAACACATCAGGGGCATGACCTAAAATAAAAATGGTACAAACATACACACATAATGTAGATTCATAGACATCACAGCAAATTAACACAACAGCTGAATGCGCTAAAATAAACATTGTACTGTTGAAATCTAGCAAAATAAACATTGCACTCTTCTAGGACAATGAATATTGTATTGTTAGGATATAAGGAAAATAGACACCTTACTGTTAAACACTAGTAAAATTAACACTGTTTAGGACCTAGGAAAATAATTATTGCACTGTTAGGGTCTATGAAAATAAACGCTGTACTGTTAAACGCTAGTAAAATAAACACTGTACTGCTCGGGTCTAGGAAAATAACTATTGCACTGTTAGAATATAAGGAAAATAAAAATTGTACTGTTAAAATCTAGTATCATAAACATTGTACTGTTAAACACTATTTAAAAAAAATTGTACTGTTAGAATCTAGTAGCATAAACAGTGTACTGTTAAACACTAGTAAAATAAACACTGTACTGTTAGGATCTAGGAAAAAACTATTGCACTGTTAGGATCTATGAAAATAAACACTGCACTGTTAAAATCTAGTAAAATAAACATTGTACTGTGAGGATCTAGGAAAATAAACATTGTATGTTTGGAATCTGATAAAGTACACACAAGCCAGATTCACAATAAACTAACAAAATAGCTCCACCATAACAACATTGCTCGACATGCTATACTAAAAACATTTTTTAAAGTATCAGAAAATAAATAAAGCTGTATGAAGTGTATCTGGATAAAACAAAAAAATGCATGTTTAGCGTAAATCGGTACATAAAATAGTATGCAAAGACGTAAAATGACTAAAAGGTACCATTCTGCCCGGACGAGTTTAAGTTACTACGTCTTACGTAAACAAGGCACGAGCTATCGATGCCAATGATCGATGCCGTTTGCCAATGATTGACGCCGTCAAACGTAGAATGCATGTGAATTTTGTGAACTTTATAAAGGTCAGAAGATGGCTTTCGTATTAACTCTGTGAAACAGGTTGGCAATTGGCCAGTTCAGCTAACTTCTGGATTGTGTTGGGGATAAACATTGGGACTACCCCCCCCCCTCCCCTGACGTGTGGGAGATTTTGTTAATATAAACATTTCATCTAACAACGTATGAATGTTAACTTACGTTATTTGCAGATAGTCCAAGTTGTTCACATTGTGAACGTGTAACCTCTAAACCTGTGATGTTCCTAGCAGCTAGAACAAGCTTGGGTTTATACGGAGCTAGATGAACAGCTATACCCTGTCCTATACCGGAACTCGCCCCTTTAACAAGAGAATAAAAACATCTTATCTACATGGTGATATGTATATTGAACACTACATAAACAAAAAAAACGCATATGTGATTTTCTTTTAAAAAATCATGTCAAATTCAGTTCAAGAGAGAGAGAGGGGGGGGGGGTAACGCCCAATTGGCCCAAACTAGGTCACTTCGGAGGAAACCTAAGGACCTGGAGAAAACCACGAGGTTGGACAGGCGACCTACTCCACGTCACGTACAAACAAGGAATCCTCGATAAATTAAAACTTTGGTAATATACGTTCAGTATATATTCAGCAGTGAAATACGCTAGTGAACATGCATGCAAGAAGCTAGGATTAGTCACAGCGTAGTAATCTATTAACGCAACATGTCGTAAAAATACCATAAACGTATCTAGGAATTTTTGCAGGAGGGGGTTTGCCAGATTCCCGAGACAATGTATCAGGTGGGTGCGAAACATGTCGCTAAACCTAGTCTGTGTGAAAGCTCGGGCAAACTTTCTCTCTGTTCACATTTCCTCTTATATAGGCAGGAAGGATGATATTTGTAGGCTGAAGTTAACTTTAATCGACAGTTTTGGCCATTTCACCCGTGTCCCCATCTAGCATAGTAGAAATTTTGTACGCGATTTTCGAAACAAACTGAACCTAGCCCCCTTACTATTATTCTTTATCCCTGTTATGTATATTTCCAGTAGATTATTATAAAATTGTAAAATTTTATATAAAGAACTTGTAACATTTATCTATAAATTCATGTTTGAACCTTTAGCTTAAAGATACATTATGGGAGATTAGATAACGAGTTGGCAGTTCTCAATATAATATTTAAAAACTAGATCATGTAAAAGCCATTTGCGGAAAATTTCAGTCAAATTGATCCACTATGAACCAAGAAATAAGCGATCGAAAGTTCCGCATAGCCTCGGTCATCATTACTAAAGTCGGTACGACAAAATTTATAGTCTCGATTGTCCATTTAATCGTTAAATCGAGAAGGAAAGTTATGCAGCTAATCTGATCATAATCCAACAATTATCGCAGGCTAGCGTTGACATCGAGAGTTGATTATTGTCTGGATACGTTAATTAAAATGTCTAATTAATAATTTAGAAAACATTTCAGATTTAGCATAATGTATGTTTAATGTCTACATCTGCCATTTTTGGAATATAATTTTGGTATTTCTATGTGATCAATATCTTTTTTGTTGAAATTAAAGTTCTGTATGGTAATTACTGCTTAAGTATTAATGTTATAGTAAATCAATGTCCGAATATAGGTATTTGCTATTTATTGCAACAAATTTCCTCGTTTGATAAGCTTACCACAATTCTGTCTAGGTCTGTAATATTTTGATGTTTGGTGTATGGCTGATGCAATTTGAGAAATTTTAGATAATATTATTCACGGGGATATTAACGCTCAAAAATTTGCTTCCTAAACATTTTTGTTGTGGGTTTTTTTTCAAATCAATAGAATATCGAATGATTTAGTATTTTAGATAATATTTTTCACGGGGATGCTTTAAAAAGCTCGAAACTAAACGATATAAATAGTTTCACACACGGCTATATCATTTACTTGTGATATTTCAAGAATATAATAATTTACGTGTTTCAGGACAAAAAAATAGAGTTAAAATAAATAATGAAAATACATAAAGACAAAAATAATTACCTGAGTAACGGAGCGTTCTAATCACCAATTTTTGAGGAGAAAAAAAGAGTATGGTTGGTATACATATTTTAAAAAAAAAAAAAACGACCGTGGGAAAAATATATACATTTTGTAATAAACAACATGAAAAGATATTATTCGTGCTGTTGTTAAAGTCGGTTATGGCGTGTGGTCGTGTGTGTGCATGTGAGGGGAGGGGTGTGTGGGTGACTGGTTGTCTGTCTTTTCACCATAACGTGCATACTGGAGCGTTGTAATCGCCATTTTTGAGAAAAGAGAATAAGGCGGGTAAGATTGGTATAAATATTTTTTTTTAAAAAAAAAACGACCGTAGGGGAAATATACTGAGCGCCGTGGAAAACGCATCACTTTTTTTCCCAAATATTTTATTACTAGGTGGTTTTGTATGTATAATATTATGCAATACTATGAACTATTGTTTCACACAATGCCCCCAAAAGCAAAATATATCGGCCCCTGTGCACAAAAGAAAATTGCACGAGATGCACATGAAAAACCCAATATTCACGTGATCATTGTGTGTGAGCCCTTTAAAAGCATGTTTTCAACTTAATGTGCAGTACATGAACTGTGAAACGTCAATCTGTCGTAATTTGTTGTTGGACGTGTGAAGGAATCGAGCTAGAGATGCCGAGACTAACTGAAAATCAACGGAATGAAGCCATGGGAATGTCCAGGGCTGGCATGTCTACACGTGCTATTGCCAGACACTTCAATTGTCATCAGTCCACTATTGTAAGGTTGGTGGAACGTGTTCGAGTTACTGGATCAACACGTGACCGTCAACGTCCTGGTCCACAACGCGTTACAACCCAGGCTCAAGACCGCTACATCCGGGTCACTCATCTGCGTGACAGATTCCGTCCAGCGACTCGAACAGGTGCAGCAGTCGTCGGAAAACAAGGACCAGTAAGTGCCAACACCCTAAGACGTCGTCTAAGAGAAGTAGGACTCCGTGCACGACGACCTTATGTTGGAGCTATCCTCAGGGATCATCACCGTCAGCGCAGTTTGATATGCGCTCAAGGACAACAAACATGGAGAAGAGTTGACTGGCAAAGTGTGCTCTTCAGTGATGAGAGTCGCTTTCATCTTTATCACGCTGATGACCGTCAACGTGTGTGGAGACGTCTTGGGGAACGTCTTGCAGACTGCTGCGTCTTCGAAACGAATCGATGGGTTGGGGGAAGTGTAATGGTGTGGGGAGGCTTCACATTTCATCACCGGACCGCCCTACACATTTGCAGGGGTCGCGTTAATGCTGTAGCCTACCGTGATGATGTCTTGCAACCAATTGTTGTTCCGATGTTTCGAGCGCACCCACAACTTCAGCACTTCCAACAGGATAATGCACGTCCGCATACCGCCCGTCTTAGTATGGACTACCTGGCTGCTAACAACATCAATGTCTTGGACTGGCCAGCCATGTCTCCGGACATGGCACCGATAGAACATGTCTGGGATGAGATTGGGCGCCGTCTGTATCGGAGACCACAGATGCACACCATTGCTGCTTTAGAAGCTGCTCTTGTCCAAGAATGGAACAATTTGTCCCAGGCCTTCTTTCAAACATTGGTAAATTCCATGCGACGTCGCTGCACAGCGTGCGTAAGAGCCCGTGGAGGACACACGCGCTACTGACATCTGTGTCGTACTTTTGGTTTTGACCCCTCTGACTTTGTACCGTTGATTACAGATTAAACATCCATAAGTGTACAAATGTGTTGTTATTGATGTGTTCCCATTTGAATATTGTTCACAATAAGAAGCAAAATAAATAAGATATGTTTACAGGATCATTTTGTTATACGAAAAACTAAGTGATGCGTTTTCCATGGCGCTCAGTATATATACATGTTGTAATAAACAACATGAAAAGATATTATTCGTGCTGTTGTTAAAATTTGTGATGCCGTGTGGTCGTGTGTGTGTGTGCATGTGAGAGGCGCTCCGCGGTTCAGGGAAAAAAAGAGAAAAAAAAATTCCAGATGAAAGTTTCACGGTAATCGATCTAGCGGCGCGAGGGCGGAGACTGCACTGTCCCTCAACCTTCTCGGTTATCGAGGATTTCACTTGTTATAACAGGTCCCCGTGGTCATTGTATGCCATTCGGAACTGAATAGATTTCGTATGTGATCACATATTATGTAATTATTCTTGTATTACAGACCGTTTGATTGTGTCTTACGCATGCGTGCCATTCAAAAGAATATGAAATAATCTTTTCGTCGCGTTAGAGGCCCCGCGATTCTAGTCAGACCCAGGGCCCCGTTCCGGTTAAGCTGGGCTTCGGAAATGCGGGATATGTGGGTGGCTGGTTGTCTGTCTTTTCACCATTACGTGCGTACTGGAACGTTCTAATCACCATTTTTGAGAAAAAATAAATAAATAAAAATTGAGATAAATGTATATGTCAAATTTTGGTTCATATTGCCAGAAAACATTTCTGTTTTGTATTATCTCTGTAAATTCACGTTTGATTGCATCCATTGAGAGTTAGAAGTCTTGACTTGATCAGTGTATGTTCACTTTGCCGTGACAACCATTCACAAGGGGTCAGTCACGCGTGCCATACTCTTATCGTCTGCTACGCGGTCCTTTATCAAGGAGACACGGTGTATATGTCGCGTGTTTGATCCCTGCATTGGTCGAGAAAGTTCATCGGGATTTTTCCGCCATGGGGGGCGGGGGGGGGGGCTACCGTTGTCAGTGGTGTAGGAAGGAAGGCCTGACAAGATCAGCTGTCTAGACGTTCGGCTGGAACCATACTGTCTGATGTGAAAACACGCAGCATCTTGCCAAATACATTCACAACCAAATAATCATTTTCAATATCCTTTCAATACAAGTCGCTGCTCGTGATGTTAACCTCTTGATCAACTTCATAAAACAATTCTACATTTGAGCATGTAGTCACCCCCGCCCCTTTTATACGTAGATTTTCGAAACTTAGAACCAAATTTAACTACACAAATATGTAGATTAAAGCTATTGGCTTAGTACAAAATCACACAATCAATCACCTGTCAATCTTAATAGAAGGTCATTATCCCTTAACGGGTATAACTCAGACCACGTGTGACAAACATGACCTCGACACGAACCTACGCAACAGTCATCAAAGGCACAATGTACTTAAACTATTCATGACCCTACCTAGCCTTGTCACAGAAGTCAAAGGATAAACAAGAGTTCGCTATAACAGTACCTATTCATCTTTTATTCATAATCCATTGTTCAGGTAACAATACCATACCCAATCTAGAGAATAGAACAATAGAACAGGTGTGGAATAAAATGGAGTTTTTCGTCCGCTGCCAAATTTGCTCTCAAGTGTAATATATACTACTCCCTTTGACGTCAATTTTTATCATGAATTAATATGATCACATTGTGATTCAATTTCATTGATGCAAAGCATTAACTGTTATATCACATGTCTATAACATTATCTCGCGCTTTGAATGTCCATCCCATCCCACCATCTGATGATAAAGGAAAAGGCACACGACCGTGACCCTTTTCTCATAAAAATTGTTGTTTTGCTTTTTTATGTAGCTGAGCAGCCCCCCTCCCCCACAGTCACCGCCTTCTGGATCCGCCCCTGAATACGAGTTGTATTTCCATACATATTGTATTAATTTCTGACACATAAAAGCACATTTATAAAAAAATTACTAACTGTTCTACCAGTCTGAATTCATGGCATGTTAAGGTGTGTTGTACGTAGTTCGTTCATATGGTTTGTAAAATTTAAAACTCCCAAACCAAGTGGTACCTTGTGTTAGAATGGGTGAGCATATAGTGAAATGTGGGGGTATAAATAGATTTACCTTGATCTTGAATTAATGTTAGCCTGTACAATCACGAAATAAACGACAAATAATATGAAATCAATTGAATCTTGTATGTAAGATGGTGAACCTACCTGTTATGATTATAACTTTTCCTTCCAATGAGGTCATTGTAGTAACTTGTGTAATCTAGACGGCTGATCCCATAAATATAATGTATATTATTTGGTCACGTGATTTGTATCTGCGTCATAAATTGTATTACCAAACCGACCGTATAGTTAAATAGATATGTATTGTTTGGCGAGGCCTTTTGCGATCGTTAGCCTACTCACAATTTGCGGGGGTAAAAGGTAAATTGGATCCGAGTTCAGTCTTCTAAAGATAGGTTGCCAGGCGACGAAACATACGCCCACGGCAGCTAAATCGTCCAAGCGGTCGACAAGGGATGTCGCATATTTATTCCGTTGTAGGTAATTGGGGGCCTTTACAAGACAGTTTCACAAGGTTCTAGAAACTGAATCAAAGGTCTCAACTCTGGAAGTAATCTACAGAAATTGTTGAAATTTGACATTCCTTTTCGTTTTACTAAATAATTTAAATAATGCATATAAATTTCATACAGATCAGATGATCACCTTTGTCATTCAAACGTTCACAAGGTTCACAACCGCCATAACTCTAGAAATTATTGACGGAAATTGCTGAAATTCAATAGACCTCTGTTTCACAAATTTAAATGATGCATATAAATTTCATACATATCGGATGATAACTTTCATCAATCGAGCATTAACAAGGTTGAACAAAGTGAAACAAGGACAATAACTCTAGAAGTAATAAACGGAAATTGCTGAAATTCAATAGGATTCTTCTCTTTACTAATTTAAATGACGCATGTAAATTTCATACAGACAGGTAGATAACTTTTGACGTTAGAGCGACCACAAGGTTCAACAAAGTTAAACAAGGGCCATAACTCTAGATGTAATAAACGGAAGCTATTGAAATTAAATAGGCTTCTTCATCTCACTAATGTAAACAACATATATCAATTTTAAAACAACTGGATGATTACTTTGGGCGTTAGAGCGTTCACAAGAAATTGTGGACGATGGACGGACGGACGAACGTACGGGGGTGACGGCAATATACGTCCACATTTCTATGTGGTCGTATAAAAAGGGTTGGATTAGAGTTAGTATTCCCCAAAAACTCATTTTGGATGCCCTCGCACACCTCTGATGCAACGGCGAAAATCTGATCGGAATTATTGAAATGGAGTTTTATGGCAGGTCAGCTCCAAAACGCAAGTTCAAAAAGGGACCACCAAGGAGAGCGACACAATACAACATCATCCCTCCTGTTGGTTCTATAGGAGTTCGACCAGTCTCCAAAGAAAGGCTCTGATTGATTGGAGTTCATATGGGCTATATTGGACCACTTTCAGGTTGCTGTATCCGCGTTTGCGGCCGTTTAAATTTTCATAAATTTTCTGGGGGAGATACCCCCCGCCCCCAATTGACTACCGAGCTGCCGAGAATTTATTCGGTCATTTCATTTCTACCCCTCCCCCTCAACTTCTGGAATTTGGATGGGGACCGAGTAGGACATAAATAAGCCTATATTGGACTACTTTCTTGTTGCGTACTCACGGGCAGGAATTAATGAAAACGCGTTTATGGCCTTATAATTTTCTTGTTGCGTGCTCATGGATAGGGATTTATGAAAAAGCGTTTGCGGCCTTATATTTGTTTAGGGAAAGTTCCCTTGAAAAAGGTTAATTTTCCCCCGATAGTTACTAGGACATATTGCAAACGTGGCTAATCTGTAAGGATGGAGCAATTTTGTTGATTTTTTTCTGGCATAGTCCCCGTGTTTATCGCAAAGCTATTTTCCGTTTTATACATTTTAACTTTACACATTTTCTTGAAATATCTAGATAATTTTTCTTTGGAGTAGAAAGTAGCAATTGATGGTCTGGTCCATGTTATATAAATTCATCAATATTATTTACTGATTGTTA